AAAAAAAAGTGGGACAAAATATTGATTCCTTTATTTTTATTTTTTGTTTCTCCAATAAAATCCATACAAGTGGAGGTAGTTACTCCCTTTGAAGAGTTGAGTACAATTTTTATTTTCCTTTTTTATTTTTTATTTTTATTTGGAGGATGCTAGTCAAACTAATTGTTATGGAGTATTATTTATTTCACGTTATTCTACCTCTCATCGAACTAATCCTAAGTCCTATAAACCCCTCCTTAGGTCATGATGAGGTAAATCGAGCATGTTTTTCTTTTGAGACCCACACCCAAAAGGATAAACTTTTTTGGTCAATCAATTAAGACTCATACCAAGATTAATCAAGCTAGTTAATTATAACAATATACGGAGATTAATCTTGTTCAAGTTAAGTATGATCTTAACCGCAATGAAGCACTCTGTTACTAGTTTTAAGGTAACTATAATCTTAGGGTGCAAATCAAGTTATTTTATTAAGTATTTAATCAATAATTATTTGGCATGTGATGCATTCTTTTGTTGGAAAAATGACATTTTTGTTAATCAATGATCAACATAGTTTAGATTTAATCTCTTAGTTACTCATAGTTCAACATCCAAATTTTATACTTTAATAACAATGGTTGGATGGTTGGACAAAATTTACATCATGAATGAGAGAATGAATAAGTTTTTAGCTTGGTGCAAGAGTGCAACAATAAGAGAGTGAGAGAGATGCAAAGAGGAAAATTACGTATATCAGTAATCTAAAAATAAGTTTTCAACTCAATATTACTAAAAGACAAATAAGTAATTGTATAAATTTTACATATTTCAACTATCTAAAAAAAAAAAAAAAAAAAAAAAAAAAAAAAGGAAGGAATCCTTTAACTTAAGATTCTTAAGGGGCGTATTCAATCAAACATTTAAATACTTTCAAAGATTTTTAAAGTGATTAATTTTAAAAGACTTTTGTAGAGTTTTTGTAGATTTTCTTAAAATCTTTTAAACTCTCATCAACTTTGGCTCTGTTTGGCAACGCTAAGCTAGGAGCTTATAACTTATTTTAAGCTACTAATAAGCTATAAATTCTGTTTGGTAATGTTCTCAAAATAAGCTCTTAGCTTAAAATAAGAGCTTATTTTAGAACGTTACTTTATGTAGCGTTTCAAAATAAGCTACTAGTTTCCTAACTTTTTTTCCATCTTTACCCTTATTATTTTAAAGTAATGACATATTTTAACCTTATGAATTAAAACCCTTTCTCTTCCCCTATCCCAACTTTCCCGTCAATCCCTTCCTTAGTCTTGTTTCCTGCTAAACAATTATGTTGAAACTTTAGCTTATTATTATTATTATTATTATTATTATTATTATTATTATTATTATTATTATTATTATTATTATTATTATTATTATTATTATTATTATTATTATTATTATTAATGTTATTTTAAAATTAGCAATATGGCTTCAATCTCAAATTGAACAAGAGCCGCCAACTAATGCTCAAGAAGCATCAATTGTGCACATTCTTCTTTTCGAAGTTGTATTGAGAGGTCGTTTGGAGTATTGAATAAGAGATGGAAGATACTTGCTAAAATGCCGCAGTTTAGTGAGGAGACCCAAATTGATGTTATTATGGCCACATTTGCACTACATAATTATATTCGGAAGAATTCACAATATGACATGATGTTTAATGTGCTTGAGCAGCATCCAGAATACATACCGCCTGTTAAACTTCAAGATTCAAGTAGGAATATCTCCATCAACGAAAATTTAAGTCACACCTCTATGGAGATGAAGGAGATTCGCAACAATATTGCTACTTCATTATAGGATGCTAGATCATGATCATGCTAATAGTTTTATTTTAAAAAGTGTTTATGGAAGACGAAATGTTAAATTTTAATATGTAAACAAACTAATTTAAATTTTATGAAGATATCATTTTTAGTCTTTTTACATTTATCAGCTTATCAAAAAGCTAATTTTACCAAACACTTTCAATCATAACAGCTAGCTTAACAGCTCTTCAATTTTCAGCTCCAAGCTTATAGATTTTCAGCTCCTTTTCAGCTATCAGCTCCTACCTTATAGCTTTTCAACTAGGTTTGTCAAACAGAGCCTTTGTAAGAGTCTATCACAATCCGTAGGACAAATAGTTATAGACTTAAAAAAAAATCATATTAAAAAGTCTACAAAAATTATTAAAACTCTAAATTGAATACACTCTTATAGACATTCCATACCTTCTATTAATACATTATTTATAATTTTCTTACAAAAATATATTTTTATAAATCATAAATAAATTAATGTATTGTAAAAAAAAAAATATTGATTGTCAAAAAATAGAGTATATTATACATAAATAAAAAATAATCAATTTCACTAAATATAACCAATCATACAAGTATATAAAATTATGTTAATTATATAAAAAAAAATTAATAAAAATTGAGTATGTTAATTTTACTACGACCAATAGCAACTTGCTACTGGTCGTAGCAAAAGATTTCTGTTGCGAGCAGCAATGCTTGCTGCTGTCCGCAGTAGATTTTAGCGAAAATAATAAATGAAGAAATTTGTTTGTATAAATGATAAAAATATAAAAAGTATATGAATATTTATGAAAGGATTGTTGATAAAAATTGATGAAAAGTTTGTCTGATTTAAATAAAAGAAAAAAGGTTGTAGAGAAAATTGAAAAGTTTGGGGTTAGAGACTTAGAGGGATGGATTCATCTATTTATATTAATAAAGAAAAAGTGTACAGAAATCCTATTCTGATAGAGTTTATGAAATTTGATAAATTTTTGAATACTAGTAGACTTTTAAAGACTCTATAAAAGTCTGAAACGAATACCGGTATACTTTTAATGACTTTTGAAAAGTTTGAATCGAGAATATCGATACTTTTAAATGGGGTGTTTGGTGGGATGGAATTGCAATTCCATTCCTATCAAATTCCATGGAATTGTAATTCTATGGTTTGGTTGGAGGGAATTACTGCAATTCCCTCCAACCATGGAATTGCAATTCTTATGGCCCCCTAGGAATTGCAATTCTATTATAAATTACCACTTTACCCTTATTATCATTATTATATTAATATCATATAAGGACATTTTATTATTTATTCACTTCTTCCCTTTCAATTTCCCATCATCCTATTCTTTCTTACCAAACAATGTAATTTAAATTCTCACATTATTCTTTTCACACCGAATTACTATTCTTTTCTCCCCTAATTCCCTCCTTCCAACCAAACGCCCTGTAAAAATCTAAATTGAAAATCGTTAAAAGTTTTTGGAACTCTTTAAAAGTTTTGATTGAATACACCCCTCGAGTTTATTTAAAATTTTCCAACTCAACATGTACATTAAACATGGTAATAACTTGTCCACGTTTTAAGTTGTCAATCTTTCCTATTCATCCATTATCATCTTATAGTAACTTGGAAAAGCCTACGCATCAACACGTTATCCCAGAGCTTTCATGTTAATAGCCTTGTTTGAAAGAATTGATTCTTGTTGTCATCGTTTGTTGATTTTTGATAGTCTTAAATCTTAAGATTCCTTAAACTAAAATACATGCTAACTACAAAAAAATATTCAATATTTTGTGACATAAATTAATAAAAGAATTAATGTCATATGAGATCCTCCGAATATAGTGATTTTGTTACATTTAGTCTTAAACATTCAAATTAATTACCAGTGGTCCTTCGAGTTTCAAATTATTACCATCTATGGTTCAAGTTAATCACTCATGGCCCTTCAACTTTCTAAATTTAACCAGACATGGTCCACCTAGAAGGATTATGACACGGGTGGTAACGATTTGAAAGTCAAAGAACCACAGATGGTCAATTTAAAAGTTTAGTATAACTCGACATCGATAGTGTGACATAAAGCGCCTTTAATAGGATTGGGGATTCATTCTTTTGGGAGAACAAAACAAGCATTGAAAGTGGTTCTTACTAATGATAAATGTGAGTTTATTATTGCATGAGATGACCTCATAAACCTCAATAATTATATTTTGATACATTTATGCCGTAGACATGCAAAGGTAGGCACATGTGAGTGGTCCTCAATTGGTGACCACTTACACTTTTCTTATTATTTGTTATTATTATTTTGATTCGTTTTCTTACCTGGCTTATAGGTCTCCAAAAAAAAAAAAAACTCTTAAATAAACTTAAGCTACTATGGATGTTATTAATTTCTTTTCACAAAAAGGAGTAATTTGTCAATTATAGATACAACCATAATGGTTTCATCAATGTACATGTAATGTTCACTTTAGCCTATATAAAATATGATGAATCCCATGAAACTTTTCCATCATAGGAATTAGGACAACCATAAATTACCATATGATTATTAAAATTAGTCTTCAAAAACTTCTTGATTAAGGCATTTCTAACCATCTATTCAGAATTCAAGGGAGTCCACAATTCCTTAACAAATTCAACATTATATTTCAAAAAATATCAAAAATTATGTCAAAACATATCATTAAAAATTCACCACAAATGGGACAACCTCAACCAAATCCATCAAGCTGACTTAGTAATTACAAAGTCACAATTTCAACTCCCAACAACCTATTGACTTTCTTATTTAATAATTACAAAGTCACAAATTCAACTCCAAACAATCTATTGGCTTTCTTGATTGCGGGCCCTCATCACATTTCCAACCGCTCAAAACTATTCTTCTTCTTCTACTTTTAAGTTTTGTAATGAATTTTTTTAACTCCACGAGGTGGAATTGCCCACCCCAAACACCCCCACACTCCGACCTGACAGTTTGCAGATGAATAAATCATGGTGACTCAACTGACCAACAGGAGGCTAAACTAGACTTTTACTCACTGCGCACAAGGGGCAGAGCCCCCTTCATGTACAAACAACCTTGTATGAATCATGAGTTCCATCTACCCCATACATTTTACAGGTAAGTTGCAGAAACATCATGGGACAGCATTAAGGCAAATATAACAGCACTATGATTCTTGCATCTCTTAACTTGAAGAAAACAAAATATTCATATTTCTGATCTGATCACAAGACAGAGCTAGGGTGAAATATCAGATGAACTACTATAAAGGCAAAAAAAGGGAAACTAAAAGTAGCATCTATCCCCCTTGCAAGCTCTTTAACATTATGGATCATAGGCATCAAACTATTAGTGAGGCACACACAATGAATTTTTGAGGCAACAAATCATCAACTCATATACCAGACACCACAAATTTTGTTCAAAATAAATAGAAGAAGAAGATCATATGGTAGCCCTTGGCAATCAAATATTATCGGTAGCCAAGTTTTTCCCTTTCACAAACCATAAAAACATTTTGACCGAGTAAAGAAGACTGCAGTGAGTTCTCCCTTACAATGTCTATCAGAAGTCTATCGATCCATCTCTCTCTGCTGCATCTAGTTAGCGCGGCTTCTAATCACATCCATACCCATTTCAGTCGGGTCGGTCGCTTGGAGTTCCACCTGAATTCCATCGAGCTCCCTCTTGAATCTATCCTTGGAGCTCGCGTATATCATCTTGCTCCTAACCCTTGATGTGTCGGGGGACCTTAAGACGACAAAAGAAAACACGTGAGCAGCTCTCGGAAGATAAATTTACTAAATAAACATTTGCCAACGACAAGAGTACCATGCGATGAAGAAAATCTTGCTTTTCTGGCAGTTCTCCGCTGTCACGAAATCAAAATCATAAACTGCGTATCGGCATTCATCAGCAGGAAGGCTAGCGGTGAAATCCTCGTAGCTTTGCGCTGGCTCACCAACCTTTTCGACAATGACCTGCTTCTGCTTCTCCTCGATCTTGAAAACAATAAAACGGTGCGTTCTTTTCGCTTTCAGCTCCAAGAACCTCAACTTGCAGTCATCGTGCACTGCCATCCCAGAAGCTGCATTAGCCTGAAAGATGAAGTGTAAGAAGAATTCTACAACTATGGATTGCATAAACTTCCACGAGAAACGAAACACCAACAATAACCATCCCAAGAACTTCAGAACAGTTCAAATTTAGAAAATATGCACTATTTACTCAGGAATCTCTAATCCCAATCCATCAAAAAAGCAAGACAATTCAAAATCTCATACAATTAACGAGATTGATGAAGCTCCAGGATGTTTTTCTAAGCACTCAACAAACATGAGTAGCAATTGGGCAACAGGCACTAGTGGGCCGCTGAGTCATCGTTATTTACCCTCCACTATATTGTCTGGCAAAAGTGTGGGGCCGGGGCCGGGGCCGGGGCCGGAGCTAGGGAATTTCGCCTTTTGTGGGCAATCAATTGGATTCAAAAATTATGTCCAATCAACAAACCTTACTCCCAACCACCATCAGTAATGAATAAGCTAGATTTAGGGGTAACATGAACCAATACAGAATCCTAAAGGCCCTCTGAAAGAGCATAGAAAGAAATGCATACATGCCACAATAATTACAAAACATTACCTATGGAAGTTCAATCATATATCTTAACAACAAATTCAAGTAAAAGCCAATAAAAAAGGTACAGCACTTTCTCCTATGACACTGTACCAATCATAGATAAAATTATTTGAATACCTATATTCCAATCCACAACTATTCCTATACAGGATTATCCCCAATCACCAATTCCTATCAGAAACTACTAGAAAAAAAATCCAAATATCAAACAGTACCATCTCAGATTAGTAAGAACACAGTGGATCAAGCACAAATCATCAAGAACTTCAGATCCATTACAGTAATGCTCAGAACACAATCTTGAATCTCCAGCTCAGCTCAACCCACATCGACAAAAGAGTTACACAATATTGAATTGCATGAGCTGCTTAAACAATCAAGAACCGAAATTCTGAACCTTTTAAAGATCTCAAGCCACAGATGATCATCAATTCCCATTTGAACACAGATCAAGCACTAAACCCATACATGGAATCAAATGACACCCAAGAAAACGCAGTACCCAGAAAAGAAAAATGGATTTTTTAAAGGAAAAAAAAAAAAAAAAAAAAAAAAAAACAAAGAACTCACCATTTTCGCTGTACTGAATTAGGACCCAAGAGAGACTTTGCCAACCAGAGAAGGAAACCGACTTTCTGTGTGTGGCAGAAGGGCGTTGGAGCTCTTCTTATGAAGCAGCGCCTCTCCTCTCAGGTGGGCGATTATACTGTGTGGTTGGAATACCCAATTCTAGTGTGTGGCTGCGGATTGAATCAATTACTTGGCGCCGCGTAATGAGAAAAAGACTTGACTGCTGAAGCCGGCGCTGAAAGAATCGGCTCAGATGAGTCGGCTTGGACAACTCAAATTCTCAAAACGCAAAATGTAAACAAAACGACGGCGTATCTACATTAGTGAAGCAAAGCTCGGCTTGAACTAATTGGCCAAGCTGCAATAATATATTAATTTAATACTCCGTAACATATTTTTGAAAACAATTAATTTAATAATATTTGCATATAAAATACGGAAAAGAAAAAGAGAATACTTTTTTGAGTACTACTCCTTTTGTATATTCTAATATTCCGTATTCTATTTAGATAACAATACTTGACTTACAATATTTACTATTTAATATAATATAAATTTTATATGTTTAAAACTTCTACTACGTATTAAATATAAAAATATAAATTTGAGAATTACATAAATTATTAAAGAAATATGTTAATAAATAAAAAATTAATTTTTTTATTTATTAACATATTTCAGAAAAAATATTAATTTAATTAATAAATATGAAATATGAAATATGAAATATAATATTGGACAAAGGGGAGTAATTCATAACATATTTGATAATAATTTTTGGGGATAAAGTACAAATAAGTCACTAAACTATTTGGGAAACAGCAATTAAGCCATCAAACTCAAATAACTCCCAAATAAGTCATTGAATCTGAAAAAAAAAAAAGAGAGAAAATAAGTCATTGAACTCAGAAAAAAAAAAAAAAACAATTAACATTTTTAACAGGTTAACTATAGGTTTTTGTTGACTGGATTGCCAAATGTTTATTTTATTTACGTTTTTTTTTATTATAATCCACCTACATAATAATATATTTTAAAGTAATTATAATTAAAATAGTTTTGTCTTGTCGAGGTTTTATTGATTGAATGATTGATTTATTATTATTTTTCACTAGATCTTCTTATTAAAAAATAATAACAAATAAATAAATTAGATCTAAACAAGACAAAATTATTTTGATTATAATTACTTTAAAATATATTACGGAGTACTATGTATGTGGATTATAATAAAAAAAAAATGTAAATAAAATAAACATCTGGAAATCCAGTTAGCAAAAACTTGGAGTTAACCTGTTAAAAATGTTAATTGCTCTTTTTTTTCGAGTTCAATGACTTATTTGTAGGTTATTTGAGTGGGGTGACTTAATTGCGATTTCCCAAATAGTTCGGTGACTTATTTGTACTTTATCCCTAATTTTTGTATCAATATATAAAAATTGTATTCTATAAAATGATATTCATATTGCAATGAGGTGTAAAAAACTTTAACTACCACAAAAAAACTTGTACTCAGATACAAAAATATATGGAATTAATTTAAATATTTGTTGACTTGTAATCTAAATGTTGCATAATTAAGCACTTATATGTTAGTCTGAGAGTATGCTTTTATAGTTGATTTTTCACTTTCATTTTATTTGTAATATTTTGTCATCTTGATCTCAGTTAATGAAATTTCTAGTTTGTTTTCAAACTACACAGGAGTAGTAAATTATATTAGAAATATCTTGTGCTGAGAGTTCGATCGGAAGAGTGCTGGTAAAAATCAAACTTATTAATTTTAAGTATATAATCATGTCTAAGTCAATAGAGACTCGACCACTTATTTTGAGATAAAATAATAATTTAAATAGGTATGTTGAGTTTTTGGTATTATAATTATATAATATACTTATATATTTATTTATTGTATACTATTTTGTTGCAAATTGGAAGGCTGATTTTAGTCAATTGAGTGAACAGATTGGAAAGTAATGGCACTACAAGCTGGGGTCCATTAAGAATCTTTATTCAACTTTCTGCGTTACTCTCACGCAACCCATCTTTAAGATTTTTTATTTTTTATTTGTTATTTTTATTTTTGTTTCCGAATTTATTTATTCTTTTGTACACGGATCCAATTTATCATGATCATTAGTGTACCTCAAGAAAAGTCGTTTCAAGAACAAAAGGCGCACTAACCCATGTTGGCAACTTTGAACACTTGCATGGCTCTCTTTGTGTGTGTGTGTGTATATATATATATATATATATATATATACTATTTCTTTTACGCGCTTTGGACGAATGGAATAATGTCCAATGATTATTTTTAAATAAGTATTTCAAAGTATATCAATTCAATATTACATCGGAGATGTTCATGCATAAATAAATAAATATTGAATTTATTTAAATAAAGTAATTATAGACATCTAATTCTAAACTAATTAAATGCATATGTATTTTTTTTGTAGCTACTAATTTATTTAATTTAATAAGAGTAATAAAGTGTCATACATACTTTTCATCAACAATAATGAAATCATTGATTTTTTTTTTTAATTTACATTCGTTGTTGAGATATTATTTTGAGAGTTTGTCAATAACAATTGTTACAATTCCTGTCAATAGAGGATGATAATAAATAATGCAAAATATATAGTTACAATAGATATTGTTATTATGATATAGTAAACTGAACTTACAAATTTCTTTAGAAGCTTTCATGCATTGATAAAATTCTGATGTGTAAACTTGTTCAATTAGAGCCAGTAGGATGTCAACATTGTCAATTATTTGGAAAATGGTCCTACCGTTTAAGAGTCCATGTGTAATTGTATTTATGATCAACAACTTTGTAGTTAGGTCGTGCAGGTCTGACAATGATGTAAGAACAATTTTGTTCGATAAAAAAATAATAGTATAATATTTGTAAAGTAATGTACAATTATACCATTATAAAAATACATACAAAAATTTTTAATACCATAACGACCTAAATCATACCAATAATGCAAAAGTATAATTGAAATATTAAGTTTTTTTTTTTTTTGGATCTAAATAATCAAAAGAAGATTAATTAAACGAAAAAAAAACTTAACCTAACTTTTTTTTTAAATGCATAAAAATCAAATGATTTTTAAAATTCTTAATTTATAATCTTTGATGCTTAACTTTGAATGTTATGTATTTAGTTGAACTAATTATTTGACCAAATTTTATGTTAAAATTTATATTATATATATTTTTAATACATTTTAACATATTCGTAGTATATGTTTAACAATTATGTCAACTCTAATTGGGATGCGTTCGAACCTAAGACCTTTCTTATAGAAATTAATGAGTAAGTTTAAAATAATAAATAGTTAACGAAATATTCCGTTACTAAAGTTTATACTAACGGAATTTAGGTTATTTAAGTGAAGAAAATAATATAACATATGGTAAATAAGGAAAATCATTAAAAAAAAAAAAACTAAAATCAAAATAATATGAACCATTCATTTTAAGAAACAATACTACCGACATTTTTTTTTTTGTTCCAGTTAAGGGCCTAACATTATTGGCTCTTATTAGAATTTTACTAGTTTTTCTACGCGCTTTGCGCGAATAAGATAATGCCCAATACTTACTTTTAAATAAGTATTTCAAAGTATATCAATGCAATATTATATAGAAGATGTTCATGCATAGGTAAATAAATGTTGAATTTGTTTATTTGAATCGGTAATTTAAAGTATATAAATGCAAGATAATATATGAGAAATTGATTATATATAACTGTCACAAAAATAAATGTTTGCAACTTTGTAATAACTTTAATCTAAGTATTAAGTCTAAAAGCATAGTCTAAATAAATACTATTTTTGGTTTAAATGTTTCTAATTCTCTTTTAGGTAGCATTGTTATTGTTTTCATTTTCAGTACATGTCTCTTTTTTTTTTTTTTTTTCTTGTTATTGGTAGTGTGTCATGTGCAATTGGTTTATTCGTAGTATCATAGAGGGATTCATCATGCAATGAGATTATGGTGTATGAAGTTTTAGATTTGTCTTGTTGTGTATATGACTGGGATCTTAGTTATGCTATGAACTCTTTATCTTATAAGCACATGTTGATATTTGGTAATGGTAGTTTTCCCTACATGTTTCATGTGTTGTGAGACATCTAATTCTAAATTAATTAAATGCATATATATTATTTTTTGTTGTAGCTACTATTTTTTTTTTTTTAAATTTAAGTAATAAGAGCAATAAAGTGGGAAAATTATGATGTGGAACCGTGTCCACCTTGCAAGGTGGACAAAGGTGGACACGGTTCCAAAATTGTTCATAATTATGAATATATAGTTCAAAAATTATGAACATAAAGTTGTGAACATAATTATGAACATATACTTCTATAATTATGAATAAAGAGATTCAATAATTGTGAATATGAAGTTAAAAAATTGTGAATATATAGCTTTATAATTATGAACATATAGTTCAATAATTATGAACATAGAGTTCTGTAATAGTGAATATAGAGTTCAATAATTATGAATATGAAGTTAAAAAATTATGAATATATAGCTTTATAATTATGAACATATAGTTCAGTAATTATGAATATAGAACTGTGTCCACATTGCAAGGTGGACACAGTTCCACGGCATAACAATTGAATAAAGTGGCGTACATACTTTTCATCCACAATAATGAAATCATTGATTTTTTTAAATTTCCATTCGCTGTTGAAACAAATTGTTTTGAGAGTTTGTCAATGACAATTGCTGTCAATAGATGATGATAATAAATAATTCAAAATATAAAGTTACAATTGATATTGGCCCTGTTTGGTTATCGACGGATCCGCCATTTTTAACGGTTTGACCATGTCAAACCGCCGCTTTCGCAAACGCTGCAAAATGCAGCGTTTGCAGTTAGCGTTTTGGGGAAAATTAAATTTTCCCCAAAACGTCCCTGTTTATATATTATTAATTATTTTAAAAAAAAACCTATAAACTTTTATTTAAGGAGCCGAAATGGCTCCTCAATTTGAGGAGCCAAAACCTCAATGTTGCCCATCCCAGATGGGCAACGAATGAATTTGTGGAGCCTTGAGGCTCCTTAAATAGGAGCCTCAAGGCTCCATTCCCACTTTTCCCACCGATGTGGGACGGTGGGAAAAGTGGGAATACAAGAGCCAAGAGGGGAGCAGCTTGCGCTGCTCCCTTTTTTTTTTTTTTTTTTTTTTTTTTAATTTTTATTATTATTATTAATTATTAATCATTAATTATTATAAGTATATAGGTCATTTTACATATTAACCGCTAATCTAAACAGCTAATTTTACCAAACACTTTTTTATAAACCGCTAATACAATCTGCTTGTCAAACACGCTAATACAATCCGCTATCTGATAACCGCTAACACAACCCGCTACCGCTAACCACTAACCGCTGATAACCAAACAAGTCCATTGTTATAATAATATATAGTAAAAATTAACTTACAAATTTCTTTAGAAGTTTTTATGCATTGATAAAAACATAATTGAAATATTAAGTTTTGTTCTCAATAATCAAAAGAAGATTAATTAAATGAAAAAAAAAAACTGAACTTAAATTTATTATTATTTTTTTAATTAAAGAAAATCAAATGATTATCAAAGTTCCTGATTTATAATCATCATTGAATGCTATGTATTTAGTCGGGCTAATTATTTGACCAAAGTTTATGTTAAATTTTATATTTTATTTTTTAATACATTTTAACATATTCGTAGTATATTATATGCTAACTCTAATTGGAATGAGGTTCGAACCTAAGACCTTTCTTATAGAAATTAATGAGTAAGTTAAGAATAATAAATAGTTAACGGTCAGTCAAAAAAAAAAATAGTTAACGGAATATTCCGTTAATAAAGTTTATACTAACGAAATTTAAGGTTATTTAAGGAAAGAAAATAATATAATAAAGGGTAAATAAGGAAAATCATTAAAAATACTAAAATCAAAATACTATGAACCATTCTTTAAGAAACAAGTAGTACCAACATTTTTTTTATTCCAGTTAAGGGCATAACATTATTGGCTCTTATTATAATTGTGTATATATATATATATATATATATATATATATATATATATACACTAATGATAATATGAGATCACTTGTTCTTATGAGTCTATGTAGACAACTCTTAACCATTATAATATGAAGATCTAGGGTTTAAAATAAAAGATTTTTAAAAACTTCAATCCCTTATTTTGTGCACGTACTATTTTAGCTAAGTAATCAAGGCTTAGGGGTAATTTAGAATGCCACTTGCACACTAATCCTTAGAATTTTGGGATTAAACTGTCGCTAGTCTCATTTCCTTCCACTCAAGCATTAAACTCCATCAATTCTTCTCCTTCCATTCGTGTAAGAGTGCAACGTCGACAGAGATATGGGTGAAGAGCTTAGGCATGCACACAATAGACATGCACGCTATCGCATATGCATACTCCTAACTATACGCATGCACACCTGCAAGCTAATTTGCACACTCTCGCATACTTATTATTTACACATGAATACACATTTTCACTTAATGAACTTACTAGTTGTTGTTTTTCTGGGTGAATTTCTAATTTGGTGTTTTGTTCGTGTGCGTGTTGTGTGCATCTCCCCTTCAACGCTACTATTATAGAATGTGGTTTGGTGTTTTGTTTTGTATATCGAATGATTACGATTCGAAGTTTGTTGTTGGTTTTGTGGTCCTGGGTTTTGAGTGTTTTTTAGGCAAAGTGTATATTGTGTGCATCTCTGTATTTTCTAGCGTGTAGCTCACACGGATCCACACATGCACTCAATTTCTAGTTGAGGTGAATTGTGCAATTCCGTTTGCAATAATGTGCAACTGTGCATACCGTTAGTCCAAAGTGTAATTAATAATGTACAACACCGTTACTCACCTAAACTGCCAGGAGTGTTGTGTGCATATAGGGAATCCAAAGTGTGCAACAACCAAAATCATGCATAATCCGATGGTGGTGATGCAGGCCAGTGTTGTGTGCATATAGGGAATCCGACGTATGCTACAATTAAAATCATGCATAATTTGCTGCTGGTGATACCGACGGAACCAAAAATGTAGTAAATCTCCTAAAAACGCTAGCATAGAAAGATTCTACTTAAACCAAAATTCCTAAAGTCATACATAATATCTAATAAAAAAATTAAAACATTTAAAATAGACAATCAAATTACTAAACAACCCTCACTAGAATACAAAAATGGAAAACAAAAAGTACCAAAAAAATCTTAGCCGTTCATAATACAAAGATCAATGAATATGATTAGCATAATAAGTGTGAAAATTATTTTTATAAAAGAAAATAGTATGTTGACTCTAATTTTATGCTCTTAACTTTTATTCTCACTCTCAAATTTTTGGTGTACACATTTTTCTAGATACATGAAAATAGTTTATCATTGTAATAAAAGTGAGGGAGTAGAATGTAAGAGTATACATATAGTAAAACTCTTTTCTAAAATGGTATTTACTTTCTTTTTTATATAATATTGATAATGATGGTTTTTTTGAGATTGGGTCCACCATAAACGGGTATTGAAGTACGTACAAAACGGGGGTAGGAAAGTAGTAGTATTATCGTCTAGGGCGCTAGACTCAAAATAGTACGTACAAAGCACGAAATACTGGCCCAAAATAGCGGCCTAAAGAATACATATAAATAATAAATACTATAACTCTAATAGTGGACTAAAAATAATAATGTTGTTGCTAGGAATCGTGTTGGAAAAATAGCATAAAATGACATTTTAAGCGGCTATTTTGTGGTACACATATTAGTGGGGTCCACTTTCTATTTTGGTCCGGTCAAAGTGGATTCAGATTCTTCGTAGTGAGACGAAGAGATTGATATATTGTACGCTCAAAACAGATAATAGGTGAATGAGAAATTGAATTGATTCTCAAAGTAGACCCACTTGAGTTGAAAAAATGAAGGGGAAAGGCTTTAAAGTAGCATTTGTCCGACATTGGTTTGGAAAGTGGGTTTGCACCACTATTTATATAAGAGCCTTTCTAAGGCTTATTGAATTATATAGCATAAAGGCTCTCTCTCGCGCACATGGGAAAAGCCTGAAAAGGTTTGACTCGTGCACGAATGCACGACTCCTACTATTAACCGTACAACTCATATTTTTACACACTGAGAAAATCTAAGGGGGGTGTATTCAATCATGACTTTCATAGAGTTTTAAAGACTTTTATAAACTTTAAAAGTTCAGAGGTATTCAATTCAAACTATTAGAGAGTTTTTAAAAGTCAGGCGGTATTCAATCAAGATTTTTAAAGAGTCTTTAAAAGTCATGTGGTATTCGATTAAGACTTTTAAAGAGTCTTTAAAAGTCATGTGGTATTCAAAAAGTTATGAACTTTTGTAGACTTTTTAATTTTAAGACTTTTGTAGACTGTTTCTTCTCAAATATAAATAGTTGAAATCCAACCATCAACCCCAAGATTTCAAAATTTTCTTTCTAACAACTTTGAATATTTTCTCTCTCTATTTAAACTCTATTTTTTCTCCCTATTTAAACTTTATAAACCTATCTAAATTCAATAAAATTATTTTTTTCTTCATTAACCTATATTTTCCTCATACCTAAACTCTACTAATTTTTCTCTCTCTCCTAAACTTTACAATCTTCATCTAAAAAATTGAAATAATATTATTTTTACTTCATTATTGCTCGTTTATATTGATTTTTATTTTTTCTACGAATTTGTTATCCCTAATTTTCACTAATTCTCCCTAAATACATGAATAAAGCAAATTTTTCATCGTCAAATTTTAGTATATGTTTCATAATATTCATATAAATACTTATATATTTTGATTTTTATTCTTTTTTTTAATGTTTATATTCGTAATATATATTTTTCTTTTTTTTTTTTTAACAACATGTTACTACGAATAGCGAACTACTGTTTGCAACAACAATTTTTTTTATGCAACTTGTAATTATATTTTAAAATATTTTTATTTGATCTATTCTTTTATTATAAATTTTATTGTTCAATATTGTTATGATTTCTAATGAATAATATTTTTTTTTTTTGATGTTTATTAATAATATATATAAGTAATTAGTATTTTTTTTGAAGAATAAGTAATTAGCATACAAGTCTCAGCATACTATGGATAAAAATAATAATGTTGAGAATGTTGATGTGTGTGAAGAACTATATAATAATTAAGAAGAATTTTATGATATATTATAAATATTTTGTAAGAAAATTATAAATGATAGGAATTAAAATCATTGAAAGTTTGTAAGGATGTATTCAATTTAGAATTTCAATGACTTTTGTAGACTTTTTAAAATAAAAAGTCGATAAAAGTCTATGAATGTCTTTTATATAGACTTGTATGGAGTCTTATAAAGTTTTAAAATGTTTTGAACGACTCTATGAAAGTCAATCAAAGTTTATTAAAATCTATCATTTTGAAAGTCTTTAAAACTCTACAAAAGTCATGATTGAATACACCCCCCTAAGCTTCTTCTTCGCGAAACCCTGCTCTAGCTATTTCGTTGGGTTCTAAGTTTGAGTGCTCATAACTTAGAACCAGTGTTGCAAAAATCGCTCCTAGGCGCTAGGCCGGCCGGCTAGGAGACTGCCTAGCCGGTCGGTTCGGTCGATTAATTTTATTTTATTTTATTTTATTTTATTATTATTTTTTTTTAGGTTTAGGGTTTAAAACTTTGTCGAGGCATAAATTTTGACTCGGTTGTCCGTTTTGAACAATTTTTTTTCAAATCGTGTATGTATTTAGACAGTTTAAACAATCTTTTGAACAATTTTACAACCACTTACGTAAATAGTTTGTAAGAAATAACTATGGGAACCTTATGTTTTATAAGTGAATTTTGATAATTTTTAATTTTTAATTTTATTTTATTAAAAAAAATAAAAAAAAACACAAATAAAAAATAAAAAATTGGCGCCTATCGGCGCTTAGAGGGCGTCTAACGTGTTTTGCAACATTGCTTAGAAGCGTAGTACGTCTTATCCTGGGAAACCTAGGCCGTAACGCTCTTAGCGTCTTTGGGGGACGACAAATAAGGTTTTAAGGAAAGAGTGCTTCGCTCGACTCGTACTAACCACCTACTCATTATCCCTTCGTCCCTGTGGTTGTCCTTTTCCAGAAATTTCCAGTTTTCTAGAAAAATAATAATTTTTTTCCGTAGGATTATTATTGTATTTTCGTGTATTTCCACCAACAAATCGAACGCTGGTGTGTGGGTAAAGGTTAGGACCACAAGCCAATGGACTGGGAGGGATGTTTGGCTTTCGTGCTATATATTTTGCTCATTTTTTCTCTAATTTTCCCTTGAAATTGCCCTTTTTACCTTCAAAACATAATATTGCTCTCAATTAGCTCATCCCACATACTTTATTCAATAATTGATCACTTTAAACACAATTAAAGCAATACTAAGCCAAAATTTACCAATTAATGCACAAAAAAGTAGAACAATTAAACACCTGCCACAAACCGATGCAACATAGATTTTATCATATGCTTAGATAGCTTCATAGCTAGATTGATAAGTCCATAGGAATATGAATAATTAATTATTGTATTATTAATTAGAATTAAAGGAACATTATAATAAGAGTTATTATATTATTAGATAGAATATGAATATTATATTATTCGAATTAGTAAAACATTAGAATTAGTTTTTTGAGTATCACTGACTCTATTATAATGAAGTATGTATTCATATCTATTTTTTCAATTTATTGAAATACAAAGAGTCAATACAGTCCTCACTAGGACCTCGAACACATGATATCCCATTTGAGAGAGTCAATCAATGCCACTAGACCATAATGTCATTGACATATTAGAATCAGTTAAACTTTAAGAATACAATGTTATAAATAAGAGGCCCCATGTATTATGTAGGAGAACATGTGAACCATAATAATTATATAATGTGTCTATATTTCTCCATAGCGACATTCTATACCTCATACCTCTTAATTATGTCTCTCTTTATATTCTCTCTATCTTGTCTCCTTTAATTATATTCTATCTCCCTCCTGTTCTTCCCTTTCGATCATAATCTTCTTGGAGTCAGCGCATCTACTGAAAGTGGTGCCTGTTTGATACGAGATCATTTGATCCAAATAAATAGCTTGGCAAAACAACATGATTCTGAATTTGTTCCGATAAATTCAAAATTGTCTACTTACCATTCCATTTGCCTCATTGAGGTTGCTGCTTAGTTGCAACGAGCCATCAAAACAACATATGGATACAATGCTTAGTAGTGGTTTTCAAGAATAAATAAGAATTCGTAAATAAATAATTATAAAGTGTAAAGATTTTTGTTATTTACAAAAAAAGTTAGTTGATAATATTGTTGAATGCGGGATTTAATTTGTAATTGTGTTTAACCCTGTCCAAGTTAAATACATACATACTATGGATGTTGCATGATAATAAAAGTTAGGTGTGATATTAACTTGTTCTTGCATTCACTTATTCTCTTCATATAAATTGACGAGCTTTATAAGGAAAATTCCATAGTTCTGTGTTAGTTGGCTAACTTAATTAACTAATTTGCTTTGTAAACCATGATAGTATGAATATATTAGACATTTAGACGTTCATACAAGTGATTTCATATACCTATGTAACTTTACCACAATTCATTGAATTAAATCACCATTCATATGTACTTTAAGTTAGCATGAGCATAAGTTAAGAGTTAGCCAAATCCTATATATTTTCTCTCATTGTTTGTTGCTATTATTAATCTTTGTTACATTTGAGTACATGGTTTTAAGTAATAATTGACTGGCAATTATAATGATAGGAGGAATAATAGTGCTTAGCATCCATTCTTTCTTAATTGTTGTTCCTTGAGAATTTTACACCTTGAAATATTTTGAATATTTATACGTAGTTTGTGTTGCAACTAAATTACACTAGTTATTAGAATCTAATACAGTTTGCAAAAATAAATAAATAAATAGATAGATAGATAGATAGATAAATAAGTAATTGACAAATGTTTACTTGGGTGCAACTCATTGATCACTTTAAGTAAACTAATTATTCACAACAATTTTTTTTTTTTTTTTTTTTTTTTTTTGGTAATTAAGTGAACCAGTAATTACTATCTGTGGGTTGCACTAAAAAATTAGACTATGTGACAGGTTGATTAAAAACGTGTTGACAATAATCAAATTTGTGACATTCAGGTACGAGAATCCTATTTCATCCGCTTGATCACTACCTCTTAAATTTCTCTCTTAATATATATTTGCTCCAAACGTTATATTACTTGATTAACTCTTTATATATATATATATATATATATATATATATATATATATATATGGATGAAGGTTCAAGTGCATCGATGTCCTTAGGTGTGACGTCACCAATAGTTCAACAAATATGTACCATCAACGTTAGGAAAGTGCACCATAAAAACACTCACAAATTAGGTACGCATCACCAAAAACACACCATTAGGTGTGAGTAAAAATACCATACAGTGTTTGAAAATACATCATTGGGGTGTGGTGAGCTATATGGTCTATTTTTTTTGGGTCTGTTATGTTTTTTTTTTTTTTTTTTTTTTTTTTTTTTGCATTTCATTGTGGCGTGTTTAAACCTTTTCCTATATATATATATATATATATATATATATATATATATATATATATATATATGGAAGGGATCAGGTGCATTTGTGGCTTCCCGTGCGGATGTGCGGTGGATTAATGTGCGTGTGGTTTATACTTAATGTGCGTGAGATTTGTACTCAATGTGTCTGAGATTTGTACTTAATGTGCGTCATGTTAATATGCGTGAGTTTTGTACTTAATGTGCCTGGGTATTATGTTCAATGTGCGTGAGATTTGTGTTTAATGTGCGTGAGTATTTCAGAATTACGAGCTCAGAAGGAAGCAGAACAGAAACTCACGCACATTAACGTCCAAGCTTCTTGTTACTTCTTCCTTCAATTTGGCCATGGATTCTGGATTATCAGCTACCTTCAGTGCAGTTGAATGTTTATATAAATGACGCACGCACAGTAAAATTTGCACAGCAGCTAAATGTGGATTTCTGTTGTATTATTCCCATAATTCTTAACCACCATAGCCCGCCTCCGCATCATCATCATCAGGGAGGGGGCAAATGGCTACTGGGGATGGGGAAGAAGCTAACATCAATATTTTCTGCTGCATTTTACACATTCACGCACATTAAGTACAAATCTCAGGCACATTAAGCACAACACTCACGCACATTGAGTACAAATCTCACGTACATTAATTCACCGCACATTCGCACGGGAAGCATTCAACCGCACGGGAACCTTTCACTATATATATATATATATATATATATATATATATATGATTACTAAATTGATTATCTTTTCAACTTTTAAACTTGAATGCACCACAAAAAAAAAAAAGTTTCAATTCCAATTATTTTGAAACAAATTATTATATATTCAATAAAGCATAGCACGTTGCTAAAGCACTACGATTGGCTCTCCACCTGCCAACGTTGGCATAAAAAAGTGCCAACCCTTTCCCATCTTTACATCAAAGCACATTCAAATCATTATAATATATCATATCCTTTGTGGTTTAGTAATAAGAAATTAAAGGAGAGAATAGGTTGAGAAAATATCTATAAACAGATAATACATTGTAACAAAGTTAATCGTATTCAAAAAAAAAAAAAAAAAAATCCTATCCCTTCATTTTTAATTGTTCTATAATTAAATTACATATATTAAATCAACTTAAAACTTTGATACTCTTAAATTGAAGTTGTAAAAAGATAAAAAATGAATAATAAAAAATTAAAGGAGACAATAATTACATGCTATTGCTAATAACGGGGTTCATTCTACTTCCAATTCTTCAACTATAATAACATATATTATCGATTTTTAACTATGTTATGTTTTGTTTTTAATTTTCAACTTTAAAAGTTTTTTACTTTTAGCCTAAAATGTCTGCAAATGCAATAAAATAAAGTTTTGTACAACTTTTACGAATTAAGACATTTTAATGTATTTTGGATTAAAATAAAAGAATTTTTATATATAGTCAATAAAAAAATTAAAATAAATCAAAATTAATAACCCAAAGTGAAATATTGCTATAATCAAGGGTCAAATATTGAATACACTTAACAACAACAACAATCTCTTGACTTAGTTTTTTTTTTTTTTGTTTTGTTTTTTTTTTTTTTTTGTTTCTTTTTTTTTTTGTTTTTGTTTTTGTTTTTTTTTTTGAAAAGCCCTCTTGACTTAGTTACTTTCAAATTAAAGAAGAAGAGATCGTCCATTTTATTTTAAATTTGAATCCTACCGAAAATAATTATTACATAGAGTGCATGTTCAATTTTCTTGAATATGTTAATCTATGTTACGTCACATGCTACTTTTCTTGATACTTGCAACCTAAAATTTTCAACAAACTTACCTTAAATTGTTGTTTAAACATATGTTGCATTCATCAATATTGAAAAGTGAAATTATAATTTTTTTGAGAAGAAGAGAGTAATATTGCACAAGAAAAAGAAGTAACAAAACACAAAATGGGGAAAAGTCAACTACGTTGTTTCAAGAATTTAGATCCCTTGAAAAGTTGAAAGGATTTAAGATGCATCTCACCTTAGACCATATATCTCAACTTTTTCCCCACTAGGTTTGTCAACAATGGTTCAAACGATTAAAAAATTTATTTAATTTCAATTTGATTCATTTATTATTATTATTATTATTATTATTATTATTATTATTATTATTATTATTATTATTATTATTATTATTATTATTATTATTATTATTATTATTATTATTATTATTATTATTATTATTATTATTATTATTATTATTATTTTATACTTTTGATCTTTGAATTCCATTCAAGAATTTATAAATTTAGTCGTCATTACTAAAAAATGTTTCAATTTTATTTACAATATATGCCACTTTTAGTTCTAGCATTAGAAGTAGTGTTACAAGAACTAAAACTATCACATTTGTAATAGTTGACAATCAAATTTGACTGATTTTAAACTCGAGCATCAAAATTGAAAACATAATAGCCTTGTTTGGTAAATGGCTGTTAGCTGATAGTTGTTAGCTGTTAACTGATTGAGTTAATTAAAGGGTATAACTAGTTGATAACATCATCAGATTGTAGAAAGGTGTTGGTAAATTAGTTGTTAGCTGATAGTTGTTTAGTATAATTTATTTTTCTCAAAAAGCTAATTGAAAGGGTTGCTTTAAGCAGCTTTTTAAATTTTAGCATTTTGGAGTTACAAAAAGCTAATCAACCAAACACTTATATTGACAGTTGTTTAACACCGTTAACAGAAGGACTAAATTGACTAACGGTGAAATAATTGAAGGACCAATTCTATCCAAATTAGAAAGTGAGGATCAAATTGTATATGGGGCACTAATTGGGGGACCAAAAGTGCGATTTCCCCTTAAATTTAACTCCAAAAAGTTTTATTAATATATTTTATGATCTTCCGATGAAAGAAACCTCAGATGATGATGAAGCCATCATGAGATATGAGAATCCAGAATGCCAAAGAATCAGGGTTTCGAAAGAGGAAAAAGAAAGAATAAGACGTCCATGGTGACGAACTTTGATCATTCGAGTGGTAGGCAAATCAGTGGGATATAACTACCTTATGCGAAGACTGCAAGCAATCACTTTGAACTCATTGATCTCGACTATGACTACTTCTTGGCTGGTTTTGAATCACAGAAAGACTACGACTATGCACGGTTTGAAGGTCCATGGATGATCCTGGACCACTACCTCACAGTCCAAGAATGGGTTCCTAACTTTAACCCACGATCAAACAAAACAGAGAAAATTTTAGCTTGGCTCAGATTACCAGCCATCCCGATTGAATACTTGGACGATGTCATGCTACAACGAATCGGAGACAAGGCTGGACGTTCCATCAAATTTGACAAGAGGTTTGGTTCATGGATGCTAACGAAGAAAAAAGAAAGACGAGCACCAAGGAGAACATAGCAGAAAGGCGTGTGAACGGATCAACAAACATCTGGAGGTGCACGAGATATCAAAAAACAGAAAACATCTTCCAATCCACTATTTGGCCCGCTTGAATTACTAGAAGAAGGAAGTGGGAAAGAAGCCCCAGGTGTAGCTTACGGTACGCAGAAAGTCATGTAAGGAGAAGAAGCAGCAAATTCTGCTCATAATCTTGGAGTTCAGGATAACATTCAGACTGTGTTGTCTCCCACAAATGCTCCTAGAAACATCAGGACCCATCATGCTCCTAATATATCAGGGGTAAGGGAGTGAGAATTAAAACTCCTGGTAGAGCTGCGGTTGGGGAGGAGCACATCCTAGTCAGAGGGTCTGTTGGGACCTCATCCCCACTGGAAGAAGGAAGTGGGAAAGAAATCCCAGGTGCAACTTTCAGCTCGCAAAAAGTCTTGCAAGGTGAAGAAACAGCAAGACCTCAAGCAATGTTTGCGTTGTTAGAATAATTATTATTATTATTATTATTCTATGGTTCATTATGGCTCATAATTAAATATCTATTTATAATTTAATAATGAAGATAATCCTCTGATTGCTCAGTTAAGAAGATAAGATTGCAGTTTCAACTGCATATCATCATGTTTACGTTGATGGAACGTATTATTATTTATATTTCATTCTGAGACTCTGGTCCTCTCCCCAACCTCTGTAAAAACTAAAAAACTCTCTCCATCAGAGAATTAGATTAAGTGAATGTTAAAGGTCTGGAGGGAGAAATCAAGTTTCTAACTCAAGCAACTACGGGAAAACAATGGAGCCAGGTATGTTCCCAGAATGCTATTTAAATACAATATGTGAAAGGCATGTGTTCTGAAGATATTATGTTTTAGGATTAACTTACATATGGTATCATGAGCCAAGTTGTAGAACATATGTTTTTCCATATATTATGATGAACAAGCATTAAGAAATTGCATGAATTATTCTGTTGTACGCAAATATATGGTTATATTCACCTCACTGTTGATGGCATCTCACTATGTACACTAAATGCTAAATCTCTACAGTGCTGCAAATATGAATTGCATATTTGGTCTGCGTATAATGTGTATATATGTATTCTGCAGTACTGCATATATGTATTGTGCGTATAATGTGTATATATGTATTCTGCAGTACCGTATATACAGTGCTGCGTATATTGTGTATGATAGTATGAATTAAACACATGAATGACTGCTCTTCCAATCTATTTGTGTTATTTTATATGTAAATTGCTAATAGTGCTACTGTATGTATATATACGTATTAGAATTGCCAAGAGCATTATATATATTCATCATGCAGGGATGTTATTATATTAGAATTCTTATAATGTTAGAATCAGATTTTGTATCTCTTACAAACTGTTAATTTTGTTTTGCATATGTATGTATGCACTGGTCATATCCCATGGTTCATTTCTTGCTTTTTGAGTCAACCATGCAGCAAACTTATGTAATTTGTTGGATGTTTTCATGTATGGATTGCTTCCGCCATTTTAATGCTTGCAGATTAATTTGTTAATTAATTATGTGTTAATTGTGCATGTAGATTAATTTTGATTCTTTGTAGCCAACATGATCGGTTTGCATGGTGGTTTAGAACCTTGTCCATTAAACTTGAGATGAGGGGTTCGGTCCCCACCCATGTAAATGAAGCAAATCATTTGGCTTGCATAATAGTGATAATTATGTATGTGGATATTTTATGATATCATTTATTATATTATATCCCTTAACTTGGTATCTAATTATGATTAATTTGTTAGTCACCAAAGTGGCCAAATTATAAAGTTTTAATAGATATCAAATTTAAATAAAATTCAATTACCCATGATTATGTGATGCTTATAATGAGATAACATGATTTTATTTTCTATAGTATTGGGTAAATTGAAGTTTAATAATTTTGAAATATTTAAGAGTCGCCCAAAGGTGATCAATTATTTCATAATTATAAACATAATAGTGGTTAATTATTTATATTTGATTGGGTTGTTTAGCATATCCAAAGATAGCAAACAAGTCCAGTCATAATATATTTAATGGCCAATTATATGAATTATTTTTGCATCGGATTATGTTTAAAGTTATATGTTGTTGGATCACCCAAAGGAGACCTTCAATGTACTTAATTGTTTATGATTATGTTGATTAAATCTGTTTATCTGTTTATGTATTGAAATATAATTAATGTTTGAGTATTTTATATTCATTGCAGCATCTAGTTGTGTTTCAATTCATTCGCAAGCTGCGTCTATTGTTAAGTATAATGGGCTGAATTTTGCTGAGTGGCATGAACAAATCCAGTTTCACCTCGGTGTTTTGGATCTTGATCTAGCACTCTTGAATGACAAGCCCGCTGCTATTAATGATAATAGCAGTGATGATGATGTTGCTTTCTATCAAGCATGGGAAAAATCGAATAAACTCAGCTTAATGCTTATGCGAATGACATTTGGAAACAACATTAAGTCCACAATTCCCAAATTTGACAGTGCTAAGGATATGTTGAAACATGTGGAGGAAAATTCACATTCTGAATGTGCTGATAAGGCCCAAGCAGGCACTCTTATGAGTAAACTAACCAACATGAAATTTGATGGTTCGTGTTCCATGCATGATTATGTCACTGAGATGTTGAGCTTAGCAGCAAAATTAAAGTCCATGGGAATGGACATGAATGACACTTTCTTTGTACAATTTATTTTAAACTCTTTGCCTCTTGAGTATGAGACATTCCAAGTGAATTACAATTCCATTAAAGATAAGTGGAATGTATTTGAATTGCATGAAATGCTAACTCGAGAGGAAACGAGGCTTAAGAGACAAGGAATCCACTCAATTAATCTCATGGGTCAGTCAAGGGCTAGTAAAAAGTTTGGAAAGAAGAATCAAAAGGGTAAGAAAGGACCAATGAAGACTAATGAGTCCTCTTCTCAAATCCACAAAAAGGAACATAAGAATGACAAGTGTCATTTCTGTAAGAAATCTGGACATTTTCAGAAAGATTGCCTTAAGCGAAAGGCATGGTCCGAAAAGAAAGGTATACATTATATATCAGTATGTTTCGAATCAAATTTAACTGAAGTTCCTTATAATACTTGGTGGATAGATTCTGGTTCCACTACTCATGTTTCGAATACTATGCAGGGATTCCTTATGACTCAAACCATAAAGCCAAATGAAAAATTTGTGTTCATGGGGAATCGTGTCAAAGCTCCAGTAGAAGCCATTGGAACTTACCGTTTAATTTTAGATACTGGAAATCATTTGAATTTGTTTGAAACTCTTTATGTTCCTTCAGTTTCTAGGAATTTAATTTCTTTGTCAAAACTGGATTATTATGGTTTTTCCTTTAAATTTGGAAATGGATGTTTTAGTTTATTCAAACAAAATCATTTTATTGGTTTTGGTATTCTTTCCGATGGCTTGTACAAACTAAAGCTTGACAATCTTTTTGCTGAAACTCTTTTAACCCTGCATCATTGTATTGGATCTAAACGAAGTTTAGTGGATGAAAGATCAGCTTACTTGTGGCATAAACGTTTGGGTCACATATCTAAGGAAAGGATTCAAAGACTTGTAAAGAATGAAATCCTTCCCGAATTAGATTTTACTGATCTAGGTATTTGTGTGGATTGTATTAAAGGAAAACATTCAAACCGCACAAATAAGAATGCAGCCACAAGAAGCACACAACTCCTTGAAATTATACACACTGATATATGTGGACCTTTTGATGTTCCAACCTTCGGAAAAGAAAAATATTTCATCACATTTATTGATGATTTTTCACGTTATGGTTATGTCTATTTGTTGCATGAAAAGTCTCAATCAATAAATGCCTTAGAGGTATTTGTGGATGAGGTTGAAAGACAATTGGACAAAAAGGTGAAAATTATAAGATCCGATAGGGGTGGTGAATATTATGGAAGGTATACTGAAAATGGACAATGCCCAGGTCCATTTGCTAAGTTTCTTGAAAAACGTGGCATTTGTGCTCAATACACAATGCCCGGTACGTCACAACAAAATGGCGTTGCAGAAAGGCGTAATCGTACATTGATGGAAATGGTTAGGAGTATGATGAGTTATTCTTCTTTACACTTATCATTATGGACATATGCTTTAAAAACCGCTGCCTATTTATTAAACAGGGTTCCTAGTAAGGCAGTTTCAAAAACACCATTTGAACTGTGGACAGG